CAAATAATCTGGCGCGGTTGTCGAGCACCTCCGCCACCTCCAGATCGTCGGGCCCCAGCACCTTCTCTCGTATGGCCTGTGAGGGTGCAAGGAGTGGCTCTGCCTCCGCATACTTGCCCTGGGACACAAATGACGGAGTGAACAACGATTTGGTAAAGACTAGCAACGGGCAATGCCGTCGTGGAGAATTGAGGCCATGTCGGTATGGCACCGCGTGGAGAATGGCCATGTTGGGATGGCGCCACAGCACTGATTTAAACAGATCTATCTCCTGATCCCTCGCCCACAAAACACACGAGATTCATTCCTCCGCTTCACCTGCGCCAAAAGGAAAGGTAACTATAGTTGATGCATTAGGTCTGTCAAATTGGACCATACGCTAACAAGCGAAACTCTCAAAAACAAATCTTGCGCAACACTCGCCAGCCCTTACCTGAACCCCCAAAAGCGCCGCCCAGTTGCTGAGGCAATCAGCCAGCAGGGGGTGGTCAGGCCCGTGCACCCTGTCGTCGATAGGAAGCGCGTACTCGTATAGCTGTCCCGCCTTCTCGAAATCCCCCTGGTTTTGCGAGGTATTCGTGTGGAAGGCCTTGTGAAGAAGCTGGACAAGCGGAGAAGAACATACGCTAAGACCCAACAGGTTGTTGAAAACTGTGCCAGCGAATTCACGATTCTGCTCCGACTGTTTCGATACGAACGAATACATCAGTGTTTGGCCGTGACTCGCCACAAAACGGAGTTCCTTGCCAATTCGATTTTATATCCAATATAGGACGATATCTACAAGATTCTCTGGCCCGCACCTGATTTTTCAACAACATCGCCCGGTTGTTGAGCAATGAAGCGACGTTGGGGTGGTCCGAACCCAGCACCTTCTCCAAGATCACTTGCGACCGCTCGTTGAGCGGCTCGGCCTCTGCATACTTACCCTGCACAGCAAGCGGTGGAGCGCTTCAAGGCAGTTGTCGCCAACAACGGTTGCGACCGGTTCCATTAGGGACCAAAGCCCATTCACATTTTCGAGGCTTGACTACTACTTGTACTCGACAGTGAAGAGGATGCCCCACAATGAAACGATAACGTTTCGGGAAATACTCGACGAGACGGTTCTGACGCCGCCAAGATCTGGATCGCGACTGTGCTCGCTACAATTTACTGAACCTGTGGAATCTTTGAAAGGAGGTGGTATCTTAAACAACTTCCGGGATAAGAAACACACTTTACGCTCTATCCTACGAAAAAAAATCGGTTTGCACCTGAATCTGCAACAGCCCCGCGTAATTGTTGAGAGCTGTGGTAACAGCATGATGGTCAGGGCCTAGATGTTTCTCGCGGATGGCGAGAGAGCGCTAGTACAGCGGCTCCGCTTCTTCAAATTTGCCCTGGAATGTGGAGGCGAAAATGATACCCGTGCGGTCAAGGCTAGCGGTGGAAACGAGCATGGCGCCTGGTTGTCAAACAATGGGGTCACGTCCAGGATGGTCAGGATCCAGGATCCAGTACCTTCTCTTGAGCGGCATGAGAAAGCTCACATATATGGCTTGGCCATAGAGTGTATTCACGTGATATTGCAAGGAGTGGGATATTGGTCAGCGACGACAAGGGCAATAACAGGTTTAGAACCTGCCAAAAACTCTCTGTTCCCAACTGAGGCGTCAACACTTCCGCTCGATTGTTTTGGTCGGTCGCGATCTCCGGGTGTTCAGGAATCAGTTTTTTCTCTCGTATGCCGGAAGCACGACGAAAAAGAGGGTCCGTTCAAGCGTGCTTGCCCTGGGGATGTTGGGATCCATGATCCGTAATCAAGGCTAGTGGAGACTATTGAGGAGAAAGAAGTGCTCAGAATTCTCGCCTATGTTAGGTCATTGGGACCAAATAAGGATCCTAGGACCAAACGCATTCCCTCGCATCACGCGTTTGGCCGCGAATAGAGTGGCGTTTCGTCGGTACCTCTTCTCTGGACACGGCATACTACTCGTGCTGCAAAGGTTGAGCGGTTAGAGATACGAACGAGTTTGCTGCATACATGAATTTTCCCAGTAGGGATGATCCGACTCCGACAACTCTCACAGCTCTTCCGAATACTATCGAAAAAAACAAAAAAAATACAATGCGCTATCTCCAACTGCTAACAGCCCCTACGGGGAAGGAAGAAGTGAGATGCTTACGGCAGGAAACACGAAGCTTCATAATACCAATGACAGTCCGACAACACTTCCGTGAAGCGGTTTTCAACCACCACCTGACTCTGCAGCAATGCCGCCCGGTGGTTGAGCGAATTGCCCACACTGGGATGATCCAAACCCAACGTCTTCTCGCGTATCGTCTGTGCCCTCTCAAGGAATGGCTCGGCCTCGGCATACCTTCCCTGGAACAGACAACCACGAGCGAACCGACCTCAGAGAGATGGCCCCATACACAGGGACACAAACGTTGCACTTGACCACTGTCGTCGTACGCTGCTGTGCGGTGTAGCGCTTGTCCTGCCCCAAGGACTCCCCGGGAGACCTCCAGAACCCCATCGAAGAGAGCGACGTCATTTCGTAGCGCTGTGTTGCCTTTGCGAAAAGGCACCACAGTAAACGTGCACGGCAGGGGGGCGGACGTGCTCACCATTGCACCAGCAGTCGAAGAACGACCGCATGAACCGTTCGCGGGGCCTCATCTGATTTTGCAATAATACCGCCCGGTTGGTGAGCCTTAGAGCAAGATCGGGGTGGCTGGGGCCGAGTGCTCTCTCTCTCTCCAATCTCAACAGCTCGGAGGTTAACAGGGTTCGCCTCAGCGTACTTGCCCTGGGGAGGTCGCGGAAATCGGTGTTGGAGTTTGACCAAGGGTAGCAGAGTGTGACATTGAAAAAAGGCCTCACAGCGACGCCAAGGAGCACGAGTTTTGCACCGCCAAAGAATACTTACGGAAACCTGTTGCGACCCTCACCTGACCCTCCAACAACACCACCCAGTTGTTGAGGTCCGTCGTGACCGCGGGGTGATCGAGGCCGAAAGACATTTCATTCCTGGACAGTGCGCGCTCGAAAAGCAGCTTAGCTTCCTCGAACTTACCCTATAGTGAGACCAAAGGGTGCAACAGCAGACAGGCGGTTGGGGGTACGTAGGCATGCGGAGGACGAGCAATCTCCTCCTGCTTTGTTGAGAGCTATGGCGGTGTTGACATGGTCTGGAGACCTTGCTTCCGAAACTATCCCACGACTGGTCCGTAGCGACGGCATCACCTCGCCCAACGAAACAACTCGCTATGAATGTTTCACCGAGAGCAAGATAAGTCACACCCTACGAGACCCCCCGCAAGGTACGTTTGACCCTTGCCTGCTTCATCAGTAACCCCGCCCGGTTGCTGAGGTCCGTAGGGACCAAGGGGTGGTCCCGTCCTAGAGCCTTGTCGCTGGCGACTTGTGAAAGCTCGTAGAGTTCCTCAGCTTGGGACTACTTGCCCTGATTTTGAACAAGTACGAGAGGGAGAAATTACCTAGTACAGAGATGTCAACCGAGACAGCCTGGTTAATGATACATTGTATCATCATTGGGATGATCCCTCTCACCAAGCTGGTTTTATAAACCTCGCCTAGGTTACCTAATACAGAGATGTCAACCGAGACAGCCTGGTTAATGATACATTGTACCATCATTGGGATGATCCCTCTCACCAAGCTGGTTTTATAAACCACTCCTAGGTTCTCTTGGAACGGCCCTTCCGCGGTTCCATGCAGACCCGATAGTCATCTAGCGAGGGGTTGGTCGACCGCAGTGGTGCACCCAATCTAAAGCATGCGACCACCGAAGATGAACCCTCGGCATTTCCTACGAATTTTCACCCCTCACCTGAATCTCCAATACTACCGCGCGGTTGTTGTTCGCCGTGGCAACGATGGGACGGTCAGAACCCAGCGTCTCCTCCCAAATCGTTACAGGCCTACGTAAACGTAGAGGGTCTCGATTCCGTTGTATTTACCCTGGAATATGTGAGGAAAACGCAGAACCCAGAAGGCTGTGGCAACACATGCGGGTAAAGTACTACGACGAAGTAGTACACTGTCGGGCCTCCACGTTTAGCCCGCTCGCGACAAATGCCCAAGGCATTTCTCGGATGGTCTGCAATCGCAAATCGAGTGGCTCCTTCTCGACATGTATGGCACTCATTCGCGCACAGTTGATTTGTGGAAAACCATGTTCGGCATCACCTTGCCAACAACAAAACACGTCACAATTGAATGCGGAACCCGCGAACTTACTGTCGTCCAGACTGTCATTGCTTGAAGCAACGTATTGGTAGGTAGAGAAAGGCCATTCTGCCGAGACCCTTCCCTTCTCCAGGACAAATCTTAGTGCCCCTCGCGGGATGTGCCAACGAATTCCCAGCAACGCAAAGACTCACTTGATTCTCTGGCAACATCGGCCGATTCTTGAGCACTTAAGCCACATCCGGATGCTTAGGTCCCAGAACCTCCTCACGTATGGCCTGTGACTGCTCGTATTGTGCTTCCGCTTCTTCATGTTTGCCCTGCAAAGTAAGCATGTTGCGAGGATAATTCCGCAATAGAAACGAACGAAAAAGATCGGAGAACCTGAACCTTACTCAAAAGCCCACTTTGTCCACGAGCTACTCGCGAGCAACGCACCGCCGGCGCACCACTTGGAGGTCAAAAAGGAGTTTCGACAGCTCTCACCTCCAGATCCACAGTATATGCGAGATTGTTCCTTGCTAAAGCCTCTCGGAGCAAGTATTCTTCCATTCCGCGCTGTCTCTGTCCTCGATGCACCGAAACGCGTCCTCGGCCTCTGATAGATTCTACAAAGGGCAACAAATCAACACGTGGGTAACACAAACGTCAAGCCGATTGCGGGCGTCACAAGAGTCGAACAGATACACGGCGCTCCCAGAGTCGCGCGCGTAAAAACCTGACCTAGCACAGGAAACAGAAGGACGCCGCAAGTTAAGATACCATCTACACGTCCAAGTGCGATACCTTCCTGCTTCCTTCCTCAGCCTTGGCATACTGTCCTGCCATGGTCTGCAAATCCACCAGGCAGTACCCAGTCCCACTGCCAGTTCTTCTGAGCGAAGCGGATCATCTCCTCCGTAACCTCTCGAGATAGGTCCTCGATAAGCTGTTCTTCTTCCAATTTCGCACCTACGCTGAGCTCCCGCGCCCACTCGTACATTGCGTGTTGGTCGTGCTTCAACTCGTAGAACTGGCGGAGCTGTCGCTGAATCTCACATACATACTCGTTCACAACTGGGTTCACTTTCACATCTCGGTAGCCGCTGGGCATTCAGTCGGACTTGAAGCCGTTGGTCTCCCTATGGATTTCATGCAGCTGTAGAGGAGGGAAAAGGAAACATGCACCACGGAACAAGTCGCAGCGTGTCATGCAGCTTCCAGCGTCAAAATGAAATCCCTCTGGGCATTCGGGATGGAATCATGGTACGCGGATCGAGCGCAAGGTAGTGCAAACGACCGCTACAGTCGCTCGTACACGGAAGCTAGACAGCAGGCGAACACCATGGCTGAAAGAGAGCCTACTTTGCGGGAGCAACCAAGCACTCGTATGCATTCATCCCCAACGTATCGATACCTCGGGCACTGGTATAGCGGCACCATTGCTCCTATAGTTCCAAACATCGACGACGTACAACGCACCGATAGTTCATGTTCACTCGGCACCAGCTTCAGATTCGAGGCGGTTTGCTAGCCTGTGTGTGTTTCTGACCTGGAGACGTCCCAGGATATCTGAGAAAGCCCGTGCGAGGTCTTCGGGTTTGTCGCAGATCACGGAAACACGAGTCATGTCCGAAAGCATGCGGACGTTCCCGCCATAGGACGATTTCGCCTTCCGAGTTGGGCTTTCCGACGAGTTGACTTCCACGCATTTAAGCTCGCACCCTTCCAAGTCGTTGGCCACGTCTTGGACGAGCTCTTCCAAACCCTATTTCGCCAGGCGTGCGTCTTGAAGGTAGGACTCTACCTGTCGTGCTAGTTGAGCTTCCTCATCGCCGTCTTGCAGCTCCAAGCAGACTTTGGGTTGTTGGCGGTCCGCCGACCGAATCGGGGCGATGCTGCGAAGACATGTTAACCCTCCATCCTTGTCGAGCTCGAAGCATCGACGGTCGTACGCTGTCTCAAACTGGTGTACAGTTTCGATCTGAAGGTATTTGAGCAGATTCACCATGGCGTCTCGTTCCACAGGCGACGCTGCGCTGATTTCTCCGGCTTTCAGGTCATGTTCCAGACGGCAAAGGCCCTTGATGTCGATTTCCATCTACAGACAGCAGCAGCACACGCGGCAGATTGAGTGGACGGGACGTCGCGACCGACGATGTTCCGCTGGTATACCAGTACCATGGTAGTTGAATTTTCAGCAGCTATGACCAACGTAAGTGGCTCTCCAACAACAGACTGTCCATGCATGGTGTATGGTTTGCCCTGCCACCAGGGGAAATGAGAAAGGAGCCCGTTGCGGCGGCACATTTCTTAAAAGCAAAATGTCTCGCCCTTTCGGACTACTCAAGGGGGGGTTGATGGTTCTGTTGTTCTTCGAGATCGCCGCCTACACCGCGTGCTGGAGCGCACATCACAACCTACTGTTGTGCTTCTATTTGACGAGAGACGTCATCGGACAAAGTATATTCAGAGTCTCTTCTACTCGTCATAGTCGGAGACCGGCGAAGAATCTACAGCATGCAGAGAGAATTTCTCGAGGGAACACAGGTCATGGACCACTGTAGAAGGTTGCCTTTAACAAATTGGTGTGTTGAGTCAGAATGGGTAGAAATATCGGCCCACTGTAGTCATATCACGGGAAGAACACATATACTGTAGTGTAATATGGGGCCGGTATGACGGGAAAGAAGAGACGTATGCCTTCGCATGAGTTACATGAAACACATCAAGACGCAGCGCGGGAGAGCAAGACAAGCAAACGCGGAGGAGAAGGAGGTGGCCAGAGAGAAAGAAAAACAGAGAAGGATAACGAAGGAAGCGAGATTACGGAGAGAAGGAGAGAGGCACAGAGAGAGCAAGAGCACCCGTCGGTACTGATTGCAATAGACCTGTGATTCAAATGAGGACAATTCCTGGAAATTTCTCTGAGCAGGGGTCCTCGGCGGCGCCGTTTCTCCTACCCAGGTGTAGCTACATACGGGTGCCAATCGAGGAAGCACCGCCGCCGAAACAAGCAAACACTGCTGTCATACTCCACATTATGGATGGCTGGAATGGAGGGCAGGGACGCCTACAGCGTTAGAGAATGATATCAAGAACATCAAACACACCTTGCCCTCCGGGGTGGAGGTATGCAGTCTCCACCTCTATCTCAAGTAGACTACTGTCGCGTACGTAGCTGCTGCTCCGTTCGCCCTAGTGTGCGCGTGCTTCTCTCTTGATGCGTCCGTGTGCCGCCAAACACTTGATTCAGACTTAGCACTACTGTTGCAACAAGCTGTAGATTACAAGGTTTAAAGTTGCTTGTGTTCTACCGCAGCCGGAAAAAGGGGGCAAGCGAACGCGAGCGAGCACCACCCACAGGGAGGGGCCTGCACAGTAGTCAACGGTATGTGTCGCGTAGGCTGCTGCATGTGCTCCTCCTCAGCCAGCTACCGCGCAGCCAACACACTTTACTAAGACCTTGCTTGTTCGGGAGAGCCCGCAAAGGACTTCCCGACAACAACCACAGTACATCACTCCACATAAACGGGCGCATGCTGCTTCGGTATAACGCAGCTGTTTCACTGTTCCTTTTTGCATTGAGTGTGAAATGTACATACGTACATAGATAGGATTATAGCTGCCAAATTACGTGCGCCTTGGTTATGGCGAAGCAGCCGCCTGCCATAGATTCATTTCCACGACAACAGAAGGAGGTGGGCACAAGACCGAGCTGCCTCCCATGAGCGAATGGCACAGCTAGTAGTTGGAGACCCCTCCTCATTCGACAGTGCGCCCGTCGATATATTTTGTTGTGTCTTTTTTCTTTCCGTCGATCGCGCTAACCGGTCGCTCAATGATAAGCCGTCAATCTCAGTGCGGGTGACGTACGAACTCGTGACGGGGTGGTCCATGGGGGAGGCGAAGCTGCTCCCCGGAGAAAGCACGTTTTTTTTTAGTACGCGTGTACGTTGAGAAAGGAGGACAAAAGCATGAGAAGTGAACAGTGCCAAAAAAATTCGCCGAATTCATTTGGCGTGGACTACTGTACACAGGTTCACACTGTATGTAAATATCTAGCGAGTGTACGGCAGACCACGACTTTTTAGACTCATTGCCGTGGTGCCGGGGAGCAGACGCCGCAGCACCTCTTATCGGCTTCGCTCATGTACAACCCCTCCAGAATATGTGAAGCAAAACAAGTTCCGCTGTGATGTGCATGCGAGCACCCTCCATCGACACCATTCACAATGAAGCACGCACTCCAACCCAACACGAGCGATAATGTTAGCACATTTTCTCCTTGTCATCTCCAGCGGGGTACAAGAATATGAACCCGTTTGACATGTCACGGCCCAAACAATACGAGCCTAACACGATTTCAAAATTGGTCCTAAACTATCGCCTGGCCAAAACACAGACTGTCCGGTTCGACGTGCCGAACCTAAGCACCTTCTCAGCTAGGTGTTCTGTAGACCTTGAGAGAGGGCGGTTTGATGCCCAGTACGCAATCCCTGTTTACCCGCCAAGAGAGAGAACCCCCACACCGTCAGGTCCAATCCCATGTCTCATCGCATCAAGCCACACACGCGAATCAAACGCCATGAAGAAAGCAGAGAAACGAAACAGGCAAAACCAACAATCACAATCGACGGACCGAATATTTCTCTTGCTTTTTGTGTTCATATCCGGAACGGAAAGCAGCAGCACCGACAGGGGCCGCGGTAGGGGTGGTGGCACCAGGCATCTTGGCCAAAGGCAACTAACAACAAATCGTCCCACCACAAAGCCTTGTTTCGTCTAACTTGGTCGGGGAGGTGTGCAACCGGGTCTCATCGGAAGCCTTGGCCAACCGAGCTCCTGTCTTCCACTCACTCACAATAAAGGATCGTCAACGACTTTCCTCCATGCCACATAATTCGACCTCGATCGAGTGCATACAACAACTTGAACACAGATTCTGGACGGTTGTCCGCGTTCCACCCAGGTAACGGTAAGCACCAGCCTGGTGAAACAGGCTCGCTGGTTGTCGTGTAGAGGCGTGATAGAGGCAACAGCGCAGGCATTGAGCTTGGGGAAGGGGTGTACTCATGGTCGTGCATGCAGTAGTCGTTAGACCATTGACCTCGCATCCCTACAAAGCCGGGACGGAGCACGCCGGGTTCTCACCGGACCAGGCTCTCACATCACCAAGCGCGAAGTACCGTGAGGTATTGCATGAAGGGTGCGCTGCATCCTGCTAAGGGTGTTCGGCATCTTGTGCTTCCTTCCTTGCAAACGGATGACAGCTCCGTATGACTTACTGTATTTTCTGGTGCTTTCACTTCCAGAGATGTACGTACTGTGTGTAACTGCCTCGAGGGTGCTTGACCACTTGAACACAACGTGGTGCGATCATCCCCCTAGCGCCGAGTGAGGGTTCCCCACCCCGGACAACATGATGTACTCGACCACCATTATGGTTACCGCCAAAAAAAAAGAGGAAAAAAAAAAAAGACGGTAATCTGGTTGCCGAGTTCACGAAGTGAATTGGCTTGTTTTACAACGTCGTTGCCAAGCGACGAAAACCCAATCCCGATGGCAAACACCGCGGGGGGTGGCTTGTTTTACAACGTCGTTGCCAAGCGACGAAAACCCAACCCCGATGGCAAACACCGGGGGGAGGGGCTTGGGGGTTGCGGCAAATCGCCGAAACGTCGACACGTCGAAGAACATTCAACTGCGGGACCCGGCGACTGTGCCTGAGCAGTAGGTGGAGGGAGTGAGGTAC